TTTCAGTTTTTTTCTTGTGGAGATGTAACCTTTGTCAGAGCCTTTTGAAAAGCATGCAAATAACTCGCTACATTTTTATTATATTAGATTTATATTCTCTCTGGCCTCTTCAGGTACATAACGGAAGGCTGTTGAATCAATGAATCAATTTAGATTTTCAGACAGTATTTATTAGTCTTTATGTCTGAAGCCTCTGGAGTTAGCAGATGTGATTTTGAATTCAACATTTACTACCTGAATGAACTTGGGAAAGTCATTTAACATTTTTAAGCTTCAATATTTCTCTGCCTCAGAAGTCGTTGTTGCAAAGATTAAATGAGATAAAGGTCCTCAACAATTAGCATAGCAGAGAGCACAAAGCCAAGGCTAGTTGTTATGAATCATTAGTTCTAAGTAGCCTCTGAACAAGAGTGGTAGTTCCCATGGTGTGGGCTCTGAGCCTTGAGGAGCTAAGAAGTTGTGCAAGGGGCTCCAAGAACCCATTTATTCACCAAATATATATTTGTATGTTTACTGTATATTCTGACAGTTGTTTTAATATATAGATGCTTTCTCATTAATAAAGTACAATTCCTTCATTAATCCAGAGAAAACAGGATTCTTTTCCTAGGTCGTATGAGTTCCTCACCTGATTCAAGCTTCAAGGAAAGCAAAGGCTTTCATTTTGATGTTTCACCTGTTACACAAATCTGCAGCTACAAATTTACACTGGAAAATTGTAAGTTCTTAACATTTCACATCCAAATTAAATTATTGTTAGAGTCAAATATCAGCATTGGTCTTTTGACTTTCATTTGCAATATTACTATTTGTATCTAAGTCCATGAAAGTTTCCCTACATCTATGATTTGGCTTGGTATAGATTCTTGATTAAAATCTGGGCACTGAAAAACACCAATTGGTTGGTAAAACCTTGCGAATTTACCGATGTCAGAAGATTGATCTCCAAAAATGTTAATGACTCTAAGGAGGATATAAAATTTAAGGTATCAGAACATGAACAGAATTTAATATTTGGTCCAATTAAAGGTGTTAATCACAGGGTGTAACTTGTCTTAAGCCAAAGACTTCAAATAATTGAGTTCCCCTGGAAACTGCAATACTAATCCTGAAATTTGAAGCTTGCATAATAAACTCATCAGTCTTTTTACTTTTTTTCCTCATAGACACAGGTCAAGAGGAAAAGATGGTCAGAGACCCTCCATATCATTGTCTTTATCAGTCCTTAATATGTCATTTTATTGAGCTGCCTCCTAAGGAATCTTTAGTGAAGTCCCTTTTATGATCCATTTGAAATTTTCCACAACTAACGACACCTTACAAGACGACTGGGGATTAATTAAAGCTGTTATAGCTTCTGAACTCCGGGTGAACCTTTGTAGGGTTGTTACCTTGTGAACTTCCCTTAGACTCTCTATTGAAGACGATATAATTATTCCATTTAGACACCTGCCAGATTCTACTTTACAATCTCCACAAATTCCGTAATCACCTGTGCTGACTAACTAGTCAATTAAAGACCATTGTCTCCGAAGACTTTTTTATCTCAGTTCTATTGTTTTACCTGCAGTATTCTAAATCAGCAAGTCTCCTGATTTCGACCAGGACAATGCCAAATAATATTTATATTGTTTGTAAAATGATGGAGAAGTGTTATGCTCATGTATTTCTCTTTATTCCCCTTCTTTACAAACTTTCTCCATTTCCCTCCATAAATCCAAATCATACTTTCAAAAGCCCAATTAAGGAGCCACCACTTGAAAAAGAACAAATCTAGTCTGATTCTTGTAGAAAATGAACTTTCTTTCACTTCTAATTTCTAATACTTGATTACCTTATAGTTGTTTCACTTATACTTATTTAAATATATACACAGCTTGCAAATAACTCCTCAAATTATTATGAGAAAATATTAAAATATATTTAAAAATTGAAAAGTATTGTCACTGTATGATGAGTATACTCTGGCACACATAATCATTTAATAAGTGCTTATTTAACCAAATTGTTAATTTTACCTTCTGCTGGCATAGTTGGATCAATAGAAATAATCTAAAGGTAGGGATTTAATACATTATGTAATAAATTTTCTCAGTGCTGATCCATTTCTATTACAAATTGGTATTTAAAAATTCTTCCTCACAGTTTTCTGAAATAATAGTGTTGATTTCACTCATTCATTAATGCATCCATTTATTTTTCATTCATTTACTCAACAAATCTTTATTGACAACCTCTAGTGTGCCAGACAGTATACTAATATTGAGGATACACTTTGCATAAGTAGATATTTTATAATTATTGCAATATAGAATATTAGAATCATTGTATCCAATTTCATAACCTGCTTTCTTTATCCCTCTGGTTTAGTACTAAGATGGCTCAGAAACACGTAAATATCTTGTCTGTAAATGTGATGCATATGATTATGAATATTGTACTCTCTTTGAGGGATGAGGGTCTTGTTTTTATCCCCATAGCGTAGCTACATACTAGACCTGACATTCATGTGTTCAACAATCATCTGTTCAGCTTATACCCTATGAAAGACTTAATGCCAGGTGCTGTGAAGGACCAGAGCGTGTATCAGACAAGGGCTCTGGGCAAGTAGTAAGAGTGATAAGGGATGTACACAAATGGTCCCAATGTGAGGCAGAGAGAGAAAGTGCCATAGAGAAATAAAGATATGGTGCTATTGGAATTCAGGGTAGAAACAGATTATTCACAAATAAAGGGTAAGAAAGGACTTTGGAAGCTTTGGCTTTTGAGCCAGGCGGAAGAGGACCAGAAGAATTTAACCATAGAAAAGTGAATGGATAGGAAAGGGAAAAGAGAAGGTATCAGAAGTGCATGGAAAATGGCTTTTTACATATAAATTATACTTCATTGAAACAAGATAAAATGTTTTTTCCAAAATTATTCTATGTTGCCATTACTTTTTATACATAATTATGTTCAATTAACTTAGTATTCGCTTTTCAAATATTCAAAGATAAATTATCCTAATCCTTAATTTTTTTCTTCTTCCTTGTCTCTTAGAATGAGTTAAGCCAATTTAAATCTCAAGAGAATAAAGATGCAGAAAGTTTCTCTCTTTCAGAAAATTATTCCCAAATCTCTACCAGCTGAATGGAGTAGCTCTTTAGAGCTACAAGAAATTATTTTATCCTATTCTAGGTGTGTTTGTAGTGTGTGGTAATTGTGTTTTCTACCAAATAGTTTCTGAAACAAGTTATAGAACTTTATTATCACTATTTTCTATGCACTAATATACAATGATGAACAAGCAATTGATTGAAAATATTAGCAGATATTTTAAATATGTAGCCAATTTGTATATAATACTCTATTCAGGGTTTCTCATGTGATGCGAAACTTGGCCCCAACCTAAACAACTGTGCTGTGTTCCAATATGTAATTCAGACAATTAGGCTATTTCCCGCAGTAGAAGCTCTTGGCTCCCAATGGCTTTTTTATTCAACCTACTATAAATTAACCGATTCCTCAAAATTGAAGATGGCCATTTCCATAATTATATCTTGTTATGCTTAGCTTTAAAGGTATCAGTTCATACTAATTTTTTTCCTATGTAATTTCCTACAGTATTCTCTCTAAATAGAATCTCCCTTCACCCCTTTCTCTATGCTGTCCCTCAGGCCATAAAAAACCCAGACTCATACAGTACATGTAGCTTTCCTCCATTCCATAATGACCTAAAAGTTGTTTCTTTCCTTGCCACGTCCTCTCCTCCAAATATTACTTGATGATGCATCCAAATCTCTTTGGGTGCCAATAAAGTTGATGAATAAATGGTCAATGCTATAATGATTTTGTGACAATTAGTCCTATTGATTTCTGTCAATCACATAGAGGGGAGAATCACTTAACTAACTCACATAGACTCCTTCTTTCCCATGAAATTTGTAACTTTTTTTTCAGGAAAAAAAACTTAGGTGATAAATTTTTCTAAAAATGCGTTTATGTCAATTTTATTCATAACTGCAGGAAAATAGAAACAACCCAAATATCCTTCAACTGGTGAATGAAGAAACTGTGGTGCATCTACACAATGAAACACTACACAGTAATAAAAAGGAACAAAATACTGATTCAGACAACAGCATGAATTAATATCAAATGCATTATGCTAAGCAAAGAAGCCAAATTCTAACGGCCACACATTGTATTGCTTCTACTTATATGACATTCTAGAAAAGGCAAAACTGTAGTGATGAAAACAGATCATGGTTTCCAGGGCCGAGGGTGAGGGGAAAGTTGACTAGTGAGCTATATGGAAATATTTTGGGCTGATGAAATTGCCCTATATCTTAATTTTTGTGGTGGTTACATGATAGTTTGGATGGGCCAAACTCATACAATTGTACCCTAAATGGGCAAAATTTACCGTACGTAAATAACACAGTACTTCAATAAATCTGATTTTAAAAAGTCAAAATTCATTGATATCACAAATTCTGAGTCAATCTAAAGACATATATGCAACAATCATTAAGAGATTCATCAAGAAAGGAAAGGAATTCTTGATTCCAGGAGACATTTTAAACATTCCCCTCTTTTCAGAATACCAATAATATTTCCTTATGTTTTGTTTTACAAATGAAAATTACATTTTAGAGGGGAAAAAAAAGCCACATTGAGAACGTGCCTTGTTTTCATTGTTGTCATAATTACAAATTCACTAAAATAATTTCTAAAAATAATAGCATTTCGTTAAATACAAGCTTGTTTAATGAGTTGATTGGTTATGATAATCGTCTAGTCTTAAAATAATGCAGTACTATTTCATTATTAGCAGTTTCAAGATTATTATCTCTTACCTCTCACAGTCTAGTAAACAACTTCATAATTCAGAAAGACAATGGAGGAAAACGACTGCTAGAAACTCTCACATAATATATCTGATATTTAGATACAAGAAACAAAATGGCAGGCTTAGAAATGATCCTGAGAAGGATGCTTTAGATAAAAAAATGCCTTACCTTTGCGTTTGGGTGGCATAGCTGTTATCATAAGTCTCATATGTCTGGTCATCATATTCACCCCCGTAGCCATCATCATACCCCTGAGGAAGAAAATGGCAGAAAGACCCATTAGCAATCAGTTTTATTAACTATGATCTGTTTTTGCTTAAAGAGATATTATATAATGCGATCTTGATTTATGTTTGGGTAGTTACTCTGCATCACATTTTACTGGATTAACAACTTCCACACAACCTCAAGCAATATATTTCATGGATCAGATATTAATGTTCAGTAATTAAACTCGGCATATCATTGATGTGGCAATACCTACCCTAGGATTTACTTAAAATTTCGATCAATACTAATCAAGACAATTAAAGAAATTCAGAATAAATTTTTCTTTTGAAAATATTATAAGTAGATAAGGACAGTTATGATAAACTAACGGTGGTGCCAATATATCTGTTCCCACCCCACTGAGAGTTTTTCTTCCCCTAATAATAATCATAATTAAGATTAAAACTATAAAATTCACGATCCCTAACCTGTAGTCAACTTTCAGTAAAAAAGATGTAGCTATCATTGCAACAAAAAAAGAGCAAGGAAAAAAGGAAAGAACGAAAGAAAGGAAGGAAGAAAAGGAGGGAGGAAGGAAGGAAGAGAAAAAGAAAAAAGGTAAAATAGAGCTCTTTTATTTTTTGTGCATTCTAAGGTTTTCAAGTCTCATAAACAATGCTGTGTGGTGAGTTTAGTTATCTGACTAAATTAACGCTAACAAAGCTAATGAAGATTTGTCACTGCAAAATGTGCAAGCAAGCTAGCAATTATGCACTCCAGTCACCAATCATTCTGCAAGTGATTTAGTTTGTTTCCCTTTGTGGTCACTGACTTTATTCCAAACCCCAGTCAGCCATCTCGACTACTTCTGAAAAACCTATAGCTTTTCTGCCTCCGCTGGTACATCTCTTTCCCTGGAATGTACGTCCGTCCCACTCCACCAGTTCATAATTTCATTTCCATCTGGAGGCTTATAAATCTCTCTCTTTATCATGCTCAGAAATTTAAACAAAAAATGTGCAGATGTGAAAGTTTCCACATTAATTTTGACTAAGACTTTTGAGTCCATTTAATCTGAAGACTAATATTTTTCATCACCTTAAGAAAATTTTAAAAATATTATTTATTACTTTTTTATCTGGTGTACCCTTTATATAATGGTATTTATACGTGAGGTTTCTGAGTCTGACCTCAATTTCTTCTGTTTTCCCATTCATGATTTCTATTTTATCATATCTTTGCCCTTCAGTATGGGACAGTTTCTCCATTTGATTTTTCAATATTCTAAATAGGTTCTTATAAATTTTTTTTAAATTAAATATTCAAAAGTTAACTTTAGTATATAAAAATATTACATCCCGATTACTTAAAAATAGTATTCAAGAGTTTATGTCCAAAATGCAGCACCTCCTTATCTTGTCTTCAACCTCCAGTTCTCATTTAGCTTTTTCATCTATTATTTTAGCATTTATTTTTCATTGCTAAGTAATAAGGTTAAATTAATGTTGCTTGATTTATAAATCTTAGTGGTTTTTTACTGACTACGCATTCAGATTGTTAAGGATTTATTTCTATCATAGATTCTTCCCCATATTCCTCCCTATAACTGTCTTCCTAATATAGTTTCATCATAATTTTTTCTAAATAGTAAATGTCTACGTTATTATTGAGTAATTATAAATAATTATTATGCATTATTGAGCCAAACAGATTAATATAATTCTAGTTTTTATTTTCCTCTTTTTGCTGAGGAAGACTGGCCCTGAGGTAACATCGTGCCCGTCTTCCTCTACTTTATATGTGGGATGCCTACCACAGCATGGCTTGCCAAGCGGTGCCATGTCCGCACCCGGGATCCGAACCAGTGAACCCCGGCTGCCGAAGCGGAACGTGAGCACTTAACCACTGTGCCACAGGGCCGGCCCCAAGTGAAGAATTTTAATTAAAGAGAAAAATTAAAATACTAGTTCAATGAGCACTTATCTACTCTTTATCTAGATATGTCAATTGTTGATATTTTCTCCCATTTGCATTATCTCACTTTATATACACATTTTTTCCTAAACAATTTGCAAGTCTGTTCCAGAAATATATTTTATCCTAAATACTCCTGAGTATAAGGATATTCTCCTACATAAATACAATATTATTACTCCCTCCCAAAAGCTCACAATAATTCTTTAATATGATTTACTGTGAAGTCCATAGTCAAAATTCTGCAATTGTCAAAAACGTATCTTTTATAGCTATTTAAAAACATCAGAATCCAATCAAGATCCATGAATTGCATTTAGTCACTGTATCTGTTTATAACTGTTTAGTATTTTTAGAACCAGGACATTCCTCCAGCCTTTTCTGCTTTCCATAACACTGACTTCTTGAGTCGTCTACACTCGTTGCTTTGTAGGCTGCCGCACATTCTGAATTTGTCTGATTCGCATAGTTATATTCTGATTCAATATTTTTTGAAGAATGCTACGTATGATATTGTGTTGAACATTTACCTGACTGCAAAGTTTTGAATTCTGGCCCCATGCTTGATTGATAGGCTGCATATAGAAGTTTAGGCTGAAAAATGATTTTCAATCAGAAATTTGAGTGCTTTGATTCAATGTTTCCTATTGTACAATGTTTTCTACGTTGATGTTGAGAATTCCTACAACTTATACGTGACCTAGTTTTGCTTTGTTTCATTTCATTCTTTTCCCTCTCTGGATGCTTTTACAATTTTTATCTCTGATGTTCTGAAATTTCACAAGGCTGTGCTTACGTGTGTGTTTCCTTTCATTCCTTGTGCTGGGCACTCAATGAGCTCTCTCAGTGTGGAAGCTTATATTCTCCAGCTCTGGGAGATGTTGCTCCACTTTTCCTCTCTCTTTCTAGAACTCTTACTAGTGAGGTACTAGATCTTCTGTATTGGTACATTAATTTTATCTTTTTGTCCTATGTGACAGCCCTTAATCTTTTTATTTTACTTAATGGGAGAACTCTATAAATTCATCTTCCAGCCATTCTGTGAAATATTTAACTTAAGTTCCACACACACACACACACACACACACACATACATTAATAACTATTAGGAGGTGAAGAGGAGGTTTCCATGTTCTCAGTGAAATTTAAGCATCCCCTTCTCATCCCGAGGCCTCATCTCCCCTCTGAGGGAACAAGAGTTAACATCCCTGTTGGAATTTTCAGTGCCGCAACAAGCAGGGCCTGCTCCCAGCTCTCCGTCCTGGAGATCCACCTGGGTCAGTAACTGGGGCATTAATGATATTTGCCACAGGTGCCTCAGAGGATGAAGCCTCTTTTCAAGCATCCAGGCTATTGTTCCTGCACCAAGGTTATAAAAGTACGGCTTCATTCATCTTCACTCCGATCTCAAGAGTTGAGTTGTTGCTTCCAATAAAAGGCAAGCCAGTTTTGTTTTGTCTTGTTCCACTTGTGTGTGTGTGTTTGTTTCCCATAGCAAGGAGCTAGAAGAGCCAAGGAGGGGGGCAGGCAGATGTCTTCCGGGCCACAACACCCCTGAATTCCCTTCCTTTCCCCTATTTCCAACAGTTGAAATGCTACTGATTTCTAAAGGCCTTTTTCTCTTACATGTTCTTCAGGAAGTTTTTCCCACTCCTACCAAGCATATGGGGACCCTCTATGCTCTGAATTCTAATAGCTTGTTGCTTTTTTCTCCCTGGTACTTAGAATGTCTAAACATGTACTGTATTTTATTTTTCCACATTTTTCTCTCTTCTTTAGAATATAAGCTCCTGAAAAGCAAGGACTATATCACAGTTAATCCCTTTTTTTGGATGCCTTGTGGTGCTTAACATAATGTATTCCATAGAGTATTCACTCAATAAATATGTACTGAATTGTTAAATTAGCACGAAGACTGTTCTCAACCAGTGTGGATAAGGATGGACTTATCAATCACTAGAACAGGAGTCTTTCAAATGATGAATAGAGAGCAGTGTCGCCTCTATTTATGAAGAATAGCTTCACCAGTTGGTCTGCAGAAGACAATTACATTTTCCTTCTTCACTTAAACTTCTATGTTTTTTAAAGTCTTACATAGAAAATCCACAGAATAGATAGAAATCCTTCCTGGCAACCTGCAATTTCATAAAGCAATAGTGCAGTGGTCCCCAAACAATTGTATACTTACTATAAAAAAGAAAGTACCTGTGGATACTTGTACATAATCTATTTTTATTTTCTAATATGATGTAAATATTTATCTAGTTTTCTTAAGACAAATAAAAATATGGATCATGCTAGTGGTGTTCTAAGATAAGTCACTAAAATAGACATGCTCCCTAAAAAGCCAGTCAGTATCTGCAAGAGATTTAAATTAAATATGAATATTCAACTAAGAAATCAAAACATAAAAGATCAAAAATTCTAAAAATATTTTTTTTCCCATTTTTGCTCCATTGTTTCTGCTGTTTACTTTGAAAAAAATTGTCATCTTATGTCCCGGCCTATTAGCACATTTCTACTACAAGATTAAGACTGTTTCCAATGCTACTTAAGTTATCATGATCTCAAAGTAGAATTTCTTAAAATATAAAGGGTATATCTGATGTGTCAGTAAAAGGAAAACCTTTTACAATCAAACATTTTAAGTTTATTTCCTTCTAGCCAGAGAGAGACGATTTGACATCTCTCACAACAAGGGAGATAAGATTCATTTTTTTCTGGAATATGGTCACGAAGAATCTCTCTTCTATCTTGAATCTCTTCATATTTGTGAAGTTATAAATTCTTTAGCTTTCTATTCTTTGAGCCACATAAAAGCAGCTCCTTAGGAAACACAATCTTGGCTACTTTCCAGGTCTTCACAAGGCCTCTACAATTTACTGAAGGTACAATCTGAAGTGTAGGGCTGACACGAAGACCTGGCAATAAAGAAACAAGAGGACTTTTTTTTTTGGTAGTTTCGTATGAATTACAGATCACCTTATACACCTGAGTATTGGGCAAAGCAGCATACAAGATAGACGCATATAACTATAAACACATAGTTACAAAAAGCCAGTCCTTT